CCCCCCCCCCCGGTCCCCCCATGTCAAAAAAAGCCCGGTCTAGGTAGGGTTAAAGTCATCAGCAGCTGTCAACGACCTCATCACAAAGTACGAAGATGTTGTATTACAGATATACGTAAAAATCTAATCGTCTTTCTGAATACACGCAACGTTTAGCAAGATTGCCATTATTTGGATGGCACTGAAGTCTGGGAGCAGAGAGGTGTCCTTTGCATTGTATTGTGGCCATGTGTAACAACATGTTTTCTAAATAATTCGTTCTTATGAAACAGTAGAGTTCACAATGCAGACTTAAATTGAAAAGGGTTAATTAATGAAGATATATATTTGAACATTTTGGGTAATCGATGAGACAGAAAAGGAGGCAAACCGAGTTGTCCTTCAGTTCCTGCAGTGCTTTCTGTAGTTTGACCCTCGGTCCGATCTCAGGAATGAGTTCAGCCAGCACAGCGTCGGTCAGATTGGAGACTGCTTCTCCATCTATCTGGTGTCCTGAAAACAGATACCACATCAACAAGGAATTCAGCAAATTTTCCGAAGCAGTATATCATGTTATCCAAATGGACTGTATAGATGCCATCTTTCCTCCGAATCCGTATTGTTGTAGCCTTAGCATCACTATTTTTCCCTTTTATAAAAAAAGGAAACGATGAGCAGATCAGACCTTACACCTAAATGCTGCAGCGTACTGCCCAAAACCTCTGGACCTCAGGAATTCCACTACGTCGTCCACAGTGACAAGGTCTTGGATGCGGTAAATGGTCTGTAGTAGAAAGCAGTAAAATGGTCTGTAGTAGAGATCAGTCATCATCAGTTGAAGTGTGAAAGCAAGTGAGAAGTGTGAAGCAAGAAAATAAAATAAAAATTGCCGGGCATTCAAATGACTATATATTTGTATAGTTATACCGTTTCGTAAAGATAACTGTCTTCATCCAGCGTCTTACATGCAGGATGTTCAGCTGATTCCGTGGCGGAAGGCTCGTCCCCTTTGATTATCTTCAGATCTAGCTGAGCACCTGGAGCATGCTGGTCGTCATTGGCTTTTCTTTTCCTTTAACATATCAAAGATGAATGAAGGTGAACTATAATTTATTTATGTTGTAAACAAGTATCAAAATTCAGCCTTGTACGTGCTCTGCTCCTGTACCTTGTACAGCAGACCATGAAATTGCAACATTATGTAACCCGACCCAACACCAGTTACCATGGCGACAGAGGTCAACAAATCATATCATTGGTTCTTCACTGTTTGGAGAAGAAGAAGAGGAAGAAACAGCAAAAACAATATGTTTTCCTTCGGTAAACATTATAACATTCATTACACAGGGTGCTTAATCATGACACATTAATGGATTGCGTTTTCTGTGAATAAAGGCTTTACTTTACCTGTACAATATGATCCCTACTGTCACCAGCAGAGCCACCAGTAGAACAGCCGCAACGCCAACGATGATGGGAACGAGAGGAACAGTTTCGACTGAAAGGGAATGATAGTCACATTATGTCATATCAATCATTTACGTTGGGAAAATAATACACTACTATTACATTGTTACTAACAATGCAGTTAGAGAGTTGTCATAAACAACGATCATCGCCCATATATTTCTTTTTCTCTTGACAATCCTCGAAAAGATAAAAGGGAATTAAACCATCAGGTACCATGCACTTTTTATTTTTTTCAGAAACATTGTGCCCCATACGTTGCAGGCAAAGATAATAAATCTTAAGGAAATTCTAAAGATTGAATAATTTAAAAAGAAACACAGTTCATATATATATATATGTATCATTCTGTAATCCATAGGAATTACCTTCGTTGTCCATTTCTGTGATAACAGGTTCAATGTACCCACTTGTCGTGAATAACTGAAAATGGAAACGTTCCCCATGGATAGGGCGTACAAACTGTCAGTTAATGCAGTTTAATATGTCATTGCCGGGCACAGAAATATAAATTGAACATGTTACATGAAAAAAAAAATTAGGGTGTAAACTCTAAAGATGACCAAATTTGAACGTTCATCTACATCATACATACCTTTTCTGTGTTCCGCTTGCGTCTCTTGGCTCCAGAGTCCACGTAACACCGCACTGCTGATGTGTACTTCTGACCTGACTGGAGTTTCTTATTGCCAGGAGACTTTGCGCGCCTGGGATCGGCGAGTTCACTCCGCCCACAGCACCACTCGTGACCACAGGGTTCCCCGTCACCGATCTGTACTACATCGGTTCTTTTGTAGTCGTCTCTGATGGAGGAGTAGAGGAGTGTTACAAAGCATGCATCGTCAGCACTGCATTGAAAGCACTTCACAATATTCTGCTTTACAAAAACGAAAGCTTTACTTCGAGATATTGAGTAAACTGCCACGAAGCACATGTAATTCTTACATAACAGAGCATAGAAAAGCCTGTGATGACGATACAAACTTGTACCATTAAGACGCCATATTGGTAACCATCCCTGAAACGGATCCTATAGCATGCTTCGCCGATTGTGATGTGTTCTGGTAATTGTAAGCTACAACGTAGTATCTTTTGTAGAAAGATCTAATGATATAAAAGAAACTTACGTCGAAAGTGACAAAGCCACGTAAGGTACAGTTTTCCCGCCATCAGGGGCGTCATCTGTAAGCATGACGTCTGGTTCTCCAACTCTTGATTTCAGGTCAGCAAGGCTCTCGGTTTTAGTCATTGTGATGACGATGACTTGGCAACAACTGCAGAAGATTAATGGTAAACCATGCGTACAACTGGCGTCCATCATTGTGAAAAGAGGCAAAAAAAAAGAATGGATGGAAAATAATCGACAATGTATTTTATTCCTCAATTGTTGCTCGTGATAACAAAGAAATGTATAGACACACGTACCGTACAGGACCATTCCTCTCGCTCACTTTCGGAAGGACCATGGGAAAAGATGTTGCCAAAGCGATCGGGGGTGGGCCGGTAGGGAGTACTGGAGTCGGTGGTGGTTCTAAATATGGTAAAAGAATACATGTATTACTTAGGTAAGGTACCTTTTCACGTACTGCTAAGTATTGAATTGAACGTCGAACCATCTGTCAAAAAAGTATAAACTGCTACTATTGCATTGTGGGAGATACAAAGTCACCATGATCTACAATGTTTTCTTGTCTAAATTGTTGTTTACAGACGATATGCAGGTGTGTCTACAAGTCGTAATATGACTATTTCTTACCAACTCTTGAGACTCGACAAGTGACCTCCTCCCCCTTGTCTCCATCGCCACATGTTACCGCCCGGACCGTGACTCGGACCAAAGAGTTGGCGGGAAGTTCAGCCAGTGACTTGGACCACTGTTGTTCATCCAAACCCACTGGGTTATAGCTGATACCTGGTTCAGACTCGTCAGGATTATGAAGTGGCGTGTCAACATATAGAACCTGTGTGGAAAAATCACAGTTAGTTAACAACTGGTCTAGCCATAGTGCATGTCACATCTTTCAAGAATTTTGTGTCATCACAACACGCGGGTGCTTCTGAATCATGCCAATGCCATAATGACTGTACTCACATTGTATCCTGTCAGCCTCCCTCTGGTTACTGCAGGAGCTGTCCAGTTTACTCCACATTCACTGTTTGCCAGTCTTGTCACAGTTGGGGCATCCGGGCCTAGGGTGAGATTATTGTTTGTCGAATGGAGATGCGACATTCAAGCAATTCGTAAATGATTGTGGGTGTCCTTTAATACAGACCGCAAGAAATTATATTAATAAATGGTTTTTATTGTCCAAACAGTACCCGTGCAGTCGCAGCCTTACGGCTGAATTGATGCAGGGTATCACATAATAATCAATACAAATCACAACAATTACAACATTCAAATGATACAAATGATACACACAGTCGCAAGGGTCTGTGCGGCTGCCATTCGGCGCCACAAGGTGACCTCAATACGACTTTCCCCAACCGAAGTTAGGTACCCATTCACACCTGGGTGGAGTGAGGAAATTCGTGTAAAGTGCCTTTCCCAAGGGCACAACGTCGGGGCGCATGTTCAGACATGTACCGGGTACGACTCGGAATCGAACCCGGGTCTCCCGGTTCACAGTCGATTGCTCTAACCACTACACCACTACACCACCCGACGTCACCCGATTAGATATGATCTTCACAATGCATACAACTTAACTGGCACAAATTTGAGTTCTTGATGTAAAAACTTATACTTACATCCGTGACTCGTACGGGCCATATATGGGTGGCTCTCGCTCCCACGGTAGAAGGTGTTAATAGCTGATACCTGTCAGACGTGAACGGTCCAAAACAGATGAGTCAGTACAACTTAGCCTATTCTTTAGCCTAACTCAATTGTGCTAAGAATACAACATCGCAGGATCAATCACTAGCATTGGGCACCTTTTCTAGGAATTCTTAAAATATTCATATAGGTCAGTCAGAAAACATTTGATGGTTCACAAGATCATTGTAAGTCTTGTCACAGTTTAGACTCACAGTGACAGAGTAGTTGTTCGCAGGCTGCAGGTGTGACGATGTGACCACAGCTGTCAGGTTCTCCTGCTGCAGTCCTGACGTCATGTTCTCCTGGTAGAACGGTTCCCCGCCGGTCCTGTTGTACAGGCTGATTCGGTACGCCTGCAGCTGACCGTGGAGGTGGTCAGGGCGCCGCCAGGCTACACGCAGCTGGACAGGCCGGGGGAGGTTTGGCGTCTGGCAGTTACAGTCGTGCTGGTCTGCAACCGTCTGGACAACCGGAGCTGTAGGGTCTGCGAGTCATGGGTAGATAAGAACGTGTGATGTAGATAAGGTAGCTAAGACTCGTATGTGGAGAATCTCTCACAGTAATGCTTACATCATAGATGTGTACGGGCCGATGATACTAAAACCAACACTGTACTGAAATGTCTTTCGTGCTAACACCCTCGTCAACATGCTACAGAAGCTATTGATATTCAGTATAGTGTAGTACTCACAATATCCCAGTGTCTTTGTGACGCTACAGTCGCTGAAGTCTCCTCCTCCTGCACTTGTCGCCCCCCGCACCCGGAATGTGTAGTTTGTGTACGGGACCGGGTCTCCGATAACGGTAGTGGTGCTGTTGTCAGACGTGGTAACGTCTTTTTGGGGAAAACTCTAGTGTTTCGCATGTGACCGATTCCCCGTACTGGACAGTGTAGCTGCGGTATGACTCCGTTGGTTCTCAGCGGAGGTTGCCAGGTCAGCTGCAAGGTGTTGTGAGATGTCTGCGCGGCTTGCAAACCGTGCGGAGGGCCCGGTGCTGTTGGTACAGAGCAGAATTACCGGACTGAATAACATTTCAAAGACAGACTTTAAAAACAGCTCATCATACAAAAATATATTTCATTTTTTGCCAGGAACAATTTCGAAACCAAGATTGGGATATGTTGTGCGTTATTTTTTGGGTGTATGTATATCATGTCCAAGAAGATGAGCTTGTACTTCAATCTAGACCATATACACGTGGCCAGTTTTGGTGAGATGTTGCTATTACAATAGAAAAAAGAGTCATCAAAATCTATCAAGCGATTGAAACGCTTATGTGTCTCAGATGTCTCAGAATCTGTTTATGCACAGTTTCATTAAGATTTATTATTATCTAGTCGTCATCATCATCTAGTCTGCCGTATGGCACCGTGCGTATGGAGGAACACAGCTTTTAACACTACAACACTACATTAGATGTAGACGATAAATTAGCTACAATTTGTACTTACGTGCTTCATCTGTAATTCCACTTGCCCATGAAGGTGGCCAACACAATCCCAGCGCATTTCGCACAGTGACTTGTACACCATACCTAACGACAGGTAACAGACCAGAGATGCGAACAGAGCCATTTGTGCCGGAAATTCCTGTTGCTCTCCACGGCGTATACGGTGTCCATTCGCCGTCGATGAAACTCCTGTACCTGACCCGGGAGTCGAGGATGTCCAGGTTTCCAGTCACGCCCACCGTCAACGTGACTTGTAGGGCTGTAGAGTTCACGGCTGTGACAGTAACTTTAACATCGTCCGGACGTTCTGTATGAGATAAGAAAAACACTAGAAAGGTAACATTTGCAAAGCAATTGCGTCATGATTACCTCCAAATGATCCCGCTTTACAAACTACTGCTTTTTTCTTTATTCTTACTCAAAACACATTCATATATATGGCCCCTCTTGATCATTGAACTCAGTTTTGCATGGCACTTGCAACATAATGTAATCCAGTACCAGTTACCATGGTGACAGACGTCTGGCACTGGTCACTGACCTTGTTTGTTTGGAACGGAAGAAGAGGAAGAAACTGAGCAAAAACAATATGTTTTCCTTCGGTAAACATAAAAACGGTTTCATGAATTCGCTTAAGGTATTTCTGTTAGCAAGAGAAACAACCTCAAGAGACGACATATCTGGGTGTCAAAGTCAATTATGTAAAAGTTGGTAAGATAATAAAACATACAACTTATAAGAAAAGTCCGGATTCATCATCAATGATATGTAAAAACAAAGTTTTATCTTTGGCTGTCGATTTTCGAATGTGCAATTCAAGATTGAGATCAACACTACATATAAAGATCCTGGTTCCTTACCTCGCACTGTAAGCCTAGCCGCCTGTGACGTGACTGTGTATACCCCGTTAGCATTAGATGATGCACACTTGTACACTCCGTTGTCCTCACGACCCACAGATGTAATGGTTAATGTGCTGGTTATCGCGTTTTCACTGATACCGTTCTCTACTACTGTATATATAACTTCAATCACACTGATCTGTCCTGCAGGTGTGATTGCACTGCTGTCGTTGTACCAGGTGATCGCAGGTGCTGGGACACCTGTGCTGTTGCAGGTGAATGTTGCTTGACCTCCAACATCTATTGTTTGATCCGCGGGATGCTGTGTTACTGTGGCAGGCCCTGTACAACACGGAGGAAAATATCGCGTTGAATATACATTTGTACATATACCAGAAGAGATAGTAAAGGATTAATGCCTGTCGATATGAATACTCTATATTACCATGGATTTGTAGTTTTCTCCATTGACCACACAC